AGGTCACACCCATTTGAGCTAGGTCATTGGATCGTGTCGAGTTGGAGACCCGTTTTGGAAATGAACTGTCTTGTGACGGAATAAGTACATGAAGAGGTGCATCAGAAATCAGTACAGTTATTTTGGTAGCCTCGGGACGCCATGATAGTTTCGTGGCTTTGAACAAAGCTTCAGTCACTGCCTCAGGGCCATCCCCACCTCCAGTGGCGCGCGCAGCTTTTAGCCAAATTTTCATCCTGAACACGGAATCGGTAAAATTATATGTTTTTGTAACAAACGTATTATCCTGTGGAGGATGATCTCGATATTCAATCAATGCTAAGCGAACAGTGGTGTTGGAAGAAGTTACGATTTCGTCTACAATGGCCTGAATATGTTGTCTGGCAGTATCTATACACGACCCCATGCTCCCAGTACAGTCCATAACAAAGGCTAAATCCAGTTCTTGACCACCAAAACTCTCAACACAATGTCCCTCCGTGTCTGTGGATCAAATTTTAATAAAGTGAAAGCCATGGAGTCCACGACCGACACAAATAGCATAAAAGACCAAATTATTTTACAAGGAATATTCATTATGTGTCCCATCTCAGTATATTTCCAAATGATTCGTAGAAAACGTACCATTACTTATATGGATAAGTGCACGTAACGCCTGCTTGTATACATAGAAAACGTACCATTACTTATATGGATAAGTGCACTTAACGCCTGCTTGTATACTTGAACTCCATATATCATGTATATTATCAGTTCCTGTTTGAACTATGTACATGGAATCTATTAATGTGTGAACCAAGCATTTCAGTAGTGAAAATGTGGGGGTATATTACTTTCAAATAATTGTTAATGGTAATAAATCTAATAAGATGGATATGTTTTTGAAGTACTAGATCAACTCTTATAGAATATTGAGCAGGAACGAACTCGGTCGTATATAGAATAATGAGTAGGAACTGACTAGTTCTTTTATAGAATATTCAGTAGGAACTAACTCGATCGTTTGTTTATAGAATAATGAGTAGGAACGAGATCGATCGTTTATAGAATTATGAGTAAAGACGAACTCGATCATTTATAGAATAAAGAGTACTGGAGAACGGACCTCAATCGTTTATAGAATAATGATTAGGAACGAACTCGTTCGTTCTTAACGCTGCTGTGTAAAGAAAACTGAAATTATCTTCCTTACCAACCAAAAAATAGGGTATCACATAGTACTTAACGTTAGTCTGATGTTCACATCGTTGGCACACACCCAAATTATAAACTACTTACCAAAATGAGTCTCCATTTATTCCAGTGGAAATGCCATATTCCAACAAAAACACTGAGAATTGAATCGCATATTTTCACCAACCCTCCAAAAATATCAAGACCACAAGGTATGGGGAAACAGTCTTTCATTTACTCTCCTATTGTTCTTTTTTTTTTGGAATTCCTTATCCGAAGATATCAGGAAAAACCCTTAACTTCATCCATTTTAAAAATCTGGTATATTTTTTTCGGAATGGTAAAAGAAATTTCTTTAATAAAGTACGAAGCGTTTTTTTCTGTTGTCATACATGTGCGCGAATGCCCGAACAATTTGATTGTGTGACATTGATTTTGGATTTCTGAAATAGATAAGCTGAAACTTCACGATGACACAAATTGGTGCGCCGAGCGTAGCTTGATACGACAGCAGCTGTCGAATCCTGGAAAATTGGGCAAGTTTCGGGACGCAATACTCATAGTGACACACTTTTAGTTCTGTAAACTTCATGTAAATCGTGATCTTTTCTCGGAATCTATCAGCCCGTTTCTCCTATGAAATCCGAAATTCAACTATATTATACTTGAGTGCCCTGTTTTCACTATTAATGATATTTTTTATATGGGCAATCGGCTCGTATCCCCTGTCCATAGGTACTTGGTGACAGCCCTCTCCCTTTTTTCTAAAATCCGTTATTTTTTTTGTTTTCTATTAATTTTGACTATTTTCACGTTTTTCTGTATTATATGAACATACATATACTAGAAATAACTTGTGTTTGCTATTTTCTATCAATTCCAAGTGTGTTATCCACAGCGGTCACTGATCGCTGTGGATAGTAAACTTGGAGTGACCGCTGTGGATAGTAAACTTGGAATTAATAGAAAATAGCAAATACAAGTTATTTGTAATATATTACTGTTGTACGTTTTTTTTTTTACATTGGCTAGAGGTATAGGGGGAGGGTTAAGATCTCAAAAAACATGTTTAACCCCGCCGCATTTTTGCGCCTGTCCCAAGTCAGGAGCCTCTGGCCTTTGTTAGTCTTGTATCATTTTTAATTTTAGTTTCTTGTGTATAATTTGGAGTTAAGTATGACGTCCATTATCACTGAACTAGTATACATATTTGTTTAGGGGCCAGCTGTAGGACGCCTCCGGGTGCGGGAGTTTCTCGCTGCATTGAAGACCCATTGGTGGCCTTCGGCTGTTGTCTGCTCTATGGTCGGGTTGTTGTCTCTTTGACACATTCCCCATATCCATTCTCAATTTTATGTTCATATAATACAGAAAAACGCGAAAATAATTGAAATTAATAGTAAACAAAAAAATGACGGATTTTAGAGAAAAGGGTGAGGGCTAAAAAATTGTCCTGTCCCTAAAGACCCCTGCCCCTGCCAAGGTATCCTGTTAAATGTACAGGAATACCCGGGATAGTTTTCACCAGTATAGTATAATACAATATTAGATTGTAAATGATATTTCTAGAGTTATGTCCCTTTGGCCAACAATTATAATTGTTTTACCAATCTGGCCCCTATTTCAGAAACGAGTTTGGTCGGAACCTCAAAAATGAATAAAGTGAGGTATTAGATTATCATCAAGATTAAATACCAAGAACTAAAGTAATAACCTGGAAATCAAATGTGAACGAACGACGACAGACCCATAAATATGAGTCATTTATTCGAAAGAGATCTTAAAGGGGCATCATTAGCTACGAGAAATAGAAAAAAAATAAAATCTGGTTTGTTTTTGTTCAATCATTAATGAAAGTGAAATAGTGATATAATATTTCGCCAGTTTGGTTCAGGTTTGTCAAAATAAGCAAAGAAACATCGCTAATGAATTATTCACTTGCAAGTGAATAATTCGACCTCATTAAATCCGTATTCATGTGAACTTCAATTGAATCTTTTAGCTAGAGATGGGTTACGCATGAACTAGGCGTGTTCAGCTATTAAAAAGAAAAGAATGTCAACATTAGAAGATAAACAAGGGTAAACCATTTGGTTGACTGATTCGATCTACAAAAACTCATTGTTATACAGGGAAAAACGATTATTAACATATTTTTAAACCTATAATATGAAATAAAACAGACCTAGAAACATCTTATTGCACGAGTTCGCTATCTATCATATCTATATGTTTATTTTTATATGGGGTTGTATGACCGTCGGCAGTCTTCGATGGTTAACTAGATGGCGACTAGACTAAAATACACACGACATGCTGATACATATTATCAAGTCCGTGCATCGTAAAATTGTTTATTTTAGACGTTTTATTATTTTGATATACGTTTTAGTATGTTATAAATCAAATATGACAATTTGAGTCAAATCGGTGAATATGAATTTGACAGCTAATGACCCTTTTAAAATGACTAATAATTACATATTGAATAAAATAAAATTTTGTTTACATACATAATTCATACATTTATGTACAGCAGAACTAAATAATGATAATAAACGTGATGCTAAAGATGTAAGTAAGCTTAGAACATACAGGAAGATTAAGTCTTGATTTCAGCTTGAAACATATCTGAGGTATGACAATGAAAACCAGAGGAGATTGCTAAGTAAATTTGGACTTAGTGCACATAGCTTAAATATGGAAAAGGAAAGATATAGGAATTTTGATATTAAAGATAGAATATGTGATAATTGCCATAATAAAGTAGAAGATGAGGTTTTTCTCAATTGAGAAAACTAACGGCCTAATTTATAACAAAATAATTAACGAAAAACAAATATGACAGAAATGAACCAACGACAACCACTGAACTACAGGCTCCTGACTTGGGACAGGCACATGAAGAATATGGCGGAGTTAAACATGTTTGTGAGCGCTCAACCCTCCCCTAACCTGAGACAGTGGTGTTACAGCAAACTATACAAATCAGTTGAAAATGGCTTAACTCATCAGATCGATACAAAGTAGAAAAACATAAAACAAAAACACTAACCGGACGTGGCAGGGTACTTATCCATCCCTCATCCCTAACAACAAAAAGGACACGTAAGTACAGATCTGAGAGTACTCGCAGTTACTGACAGCTAGTTCAAAGCCAATAACAACTAATAAAAAAAATCATGTATCTAAGACTAAAATATCAATCAGTACACATTCAACATCCAATGGATTTAGTGTAAAGACGTCATTAACAATGAGAGAAAAACATGACTATGTCTATACGATCGCAAATAGTTGCGCTCGAATAGAAAACGACACAAAACAAAACAAAAAAATCACTTAGAAATTGAAATTCTCAAGATAGTCCTTACAGACAGAAGATACTAAACAAAACCGCCTGCTCTGACTTCTGAAATCTGGTAACTAACACATTTGAATGGGGACATATAGTTGGACCCCCCCATTTTATTCTGGGTTAGGACCCCCCTTTTATAAATGGCTGGATCCGTCCCTGCTGATATATAATCAAATCAAACACAGAACACAATTATGTAAGGTAATGTGGGTCTGATTTATAAAGATTGCTGTGACATACACCTACTAAGATATAGGTATCATGGTAAACAGGAACTGGCAGTCTATTATTGGGACCCATGTAAACAAAACAGGTGCTAGTGAAATTATCTTCGATAGACAAATCTACATAAATAAGTATACTAGTCTTGTGAAGTCATTTCAAGATATATATCTAGATGGTACACATTATGCATCCTCTTGGTAAAAGGATTTTGGCTTTGTTGCTGTTTGTATCGCTCGTAGAATCAATGACCGTCAATGGTTTAAATCCACAAGTCGAAAGGGACATTAATGTGGGCAGTTCTAGTGGGCAAGCACTGGATTTAGCATTTGTTATGGACTGTACTGGGAGCATGGGATCGTATATAGATACTGCCAGACAACATATCCAGGCCATTGTTGACGAAATTGTAACTTCTTCCAACACCACTGTTCGCTTAGCATTGATTGAATATCGAGATCATCCTCCGCAGGATAATACGTTTGTTACAAAAACATACAATTTTACCGATTCCGTGTTTATGATGAAAATTTGGCTAAATGCTGCACGCGCCACTGGAGGTGGGGATGGTCCCGAGGCAGTGGCTGAAGCTTTGTTCAAAGCCACGAAACTATCATGGCGTCCCGAGGCCACCAAAATAACTGTATTGATTTCTGATGCACCTCCTCATGGACTTGTTCCGTCGCAAGACAGTTCATTCCCAAACGGGTCTCCCACTGGACACGATCCAATGAAGATAGTTCGTGACCTAGCTCAAATGGGTGTTACCTTATATGTTATTGGTTGTGAACCAGCAATACTTCCGTATAAAGACTTTTTCATGGCACTTGACTATTTGGCCGGTGGGCAATACGTACCTCTATCAAGGCCGGAGCTTCTGGTGGATGTTATAACAGGCGGCGCACAAGAAGAACTGTCAATTCAGAAATTCGAAAAGCTCGTGCAGGCTGAGTTCCAGAAAGCTATTGCAGCAGGAGGCCCTGTTAATAAAGAGAAAATTTCACAAACTGTATATAACAAGCTTGTTAATTCGGGAGCAACATCGACTCATTTGTTATTAAACAATGCAACGTTGGAAGGCACAACTGATGCCGCAAAACAACTTGCATCGGCTACATCTATGGCGGAAGTACGACTCCATTTCCATATGGCAACTGCAAAACCTGTCATTTATCCAACATATGTTCCAGGACACCCTTATCCAACATATGTTCCAGGACACGCTTATCTGCCAGGAACAGGAACAGGAACGGGGGCGTTTACAGGAACAGGAACGTATACAGGAACAGGGACGGGAACAGGAACAGGGACGGGAACAGGAAAAGGGACGTTTACAGGAACGGGGACAGGAACGTTTACAGGAATAGGGACGGGAACAGGGACGGGAACAGGAACAGGGACGGGAATAGGAACAGGAACAGGGACGTTTACAGGAACAGGGACGGGAACAGGAACAGGGACGGGAACAGGAACAGGATCAGGAGGTTCCGGTTCAGGTACAGGTACCGTAGACACATATAGTGCTGTTCATTCGGGAATTAGTATCGACCAAGTCGACAGATTAGTACAGAAAGTTTTCGGTTGATTTCAAATTCAACAGATGATATTTTATCGTAATTAAAGAATTATCATATCAATGAGTTCATAAATCATGATTTATTATCAAAGAATAAGGTAATTAAATTATTTTCTGCATTCTTAATTTGCCTAGATTTTACGTTTTACCGGCACTTTGTGTCTGTCGTCGTTAACTGTCCTTCTAACAACTCCTTAGAAACTTTATTGCTTTATTGAGGGCTGCGTCTGTGAAAACCAAATTTGGTAGTTATGTGATCAAGATGTTCCTTTTCAAAAGATATGTCAGATGACTGACAGGTAAAACTACCGTGACAACTAGAACCAAACTTCGCAAAATGTGATCCTCACAGGTTTGCCCAAATACCAAACCCGACCTCAAAAGTCCAGAACAAAACATTCTGAAAGAATGATCCCTGTTTTTTTCCTTCTACGTATAACAAGATTGTTTTTCAATTACTTGAAGAAAACGGTCGACAATTAACTAGAAGCGTTTTGTCAGAAAGAATCATTTTGTCAGAAAGAATCATTTTGTCAGAAAGAATCATTTTGTCAGAAATCATTTTGTCAGAAAGAATCAAGGGACGATGACAATCCCGGGGACAAGCAACAAATGAAATCAATTTTGCTTTGAAACTAAAGATAAATGAAACACGGACCCGTATAAAAACTGGGGCGATCTCAGGTACTCCGGAAGGGTTAGCAGATTCTTACTTGCTTTGGGTGTACGGAATGATGTTGTAGGCGTAAAACGCACTGGTACGAGGTGAGGTAGTTGGCAAAAATTATCCCAAATAGACTTATAATAGGGCTTGTAAGGAATTATAAGGGCGGCCAAATCAGAACATCGCTCCGGACACAAATTCTCAAAAAGGATTACACCAAGAGTATAACCTGTTTGATTTAAAACAGTCACGATAAATAGTCATTTCTCTGATGCATGATTTTTATTTATAAATTGTTTTGGCTTTTAACTAGCTGTCAGTAACTGCGAGTACTCTTAAATCGTACTTTCTTTTTAATTTGGCCTGTTGATACTATTTGTAATGTTTTTTTGTTATTTAATGTTAACATGGATCTTGTCTATATACCAGCTTTGATTATTTGGTATTACTACAAATTTTCACTTCTTCGTACTATGACCATCAAAATTATTTCATTTTTCCTTAGATGCTGTTCTTGGACCTGTATAGGAAGTTTTATCTAGCACTAATTGTATAGTTTTATTGTTGATATTCACCCCATATGTACCAAGTGTTAGATTAGTTTTATTGATATTAAAGAAATTTCTTTGTATTCCTAAACGGAAGATTTTATACACACAGAAGAAGAAGTATACTTAACAACAAAATTATTTTCATTTTCCTGTGTATAATATGACACAGGTTTCTTCAAAAGTGATGATTTTCTAAAAATTGTTTGACATTCCACAGTGATATCATACTTTAACTTTGTTTAAACCTGTTTATATACTTTTGACTTTAATTATTTATCCCTTGTATTTTTTTATTAACTGTTTATTTGCATTCAGGTGTCACAGGTCAAATTTATTCGTTCATTGTGTGTTAATTTACGTTTTTTGATTGAGTTAAGCCTACCAATTGATATTTTATAGTGTGTATTTCTATGTTGTGATGTTATACTATTGTTTCAGAAAAGGGAGAAGGTTTGGTACCATTAAAACGTTTAATCCCGCTGCAAATGTTTGCACCTGTCAGAAGTCAGGAATCTGATTACAGTTGTCGTCTGTTTATGTAGTTCATACGTGTTTCTCGTTTCTCGTTTTTATATAGATTAGACCGTTGGTTTTTCCGTTTGAATGGTTTTACACTAGTAATTTGTTGGGGCCATTTATAGCTTGCTGTTCGGTGCGAGCCAATGCTCCGTGTTGAAGGCCGTACCTTGACCTATAATGGTTTATTTTTATAAATTGTAACTTGGATGGAGAGTTGTCTCATTGGCACTCATACCACATCTTCCTATATCTATTTCAGTGCTTACTGTAACATTATAGTGTACTTTGTAAATAGAAAAAAATAAGCAGTCGTGTATCCAATCGTTGTGAAATTGATCACTATATAGTATATACGCCAAATTCAAAGGTTATTATCAATTAAAACTATACTAATTGCAATGACTGAAAAACGTGGTATTTGTTTGAAATGCAAAGAGTGATATATAAGTCAGAATAAAATAAGCGAAAAATCTCAGTATTTGGCTACTGTGAATGAGAGCAAGAAATAAGATAGATCACCGTAGTTGGTTTATACTGCAACTGGAGAAAATATGGAATGTTTGGTATTGATAAACTAGCTTATAAAAATATCAAAATCTTTAGATTTTAAACAGGCCATCACGTGTCATAAAGACCATCGCACATCAACGAAAGGAATATCGCACTTCGTCGCAGATCATCGCCCTTCCGAATCCAACAAATATATAATAGATGGAAGTAATGCTTGTCAGTTAGACATGGTTACATGCATCGTAGTCTCTAGTTTTCAATGTAGTGTTTTGTGGTCTTGTCTTTTCGTCGTCTATCGATTGTTGATTTTCAGTGGCATTATCCATATTTTGTATACAGTTGCCCTTTAGTTCAATTCAGCGGCATTATCCATATTTTGTATACAGTTGCCCTTTAGTTCAATGTGAGTGGCATTATCCATATTTTGTATACAGTTGCCCTTTAGTTCAATGTGAGTGGCATTATCCATATGCTGTATACAGTTGCCCTTTAGTTCAATGTGAGTGGCATTATCCATATATTGTATTCAGTTGCCCTTAAGTTCAATTTGAGTGGCATTATCCATATTTTGTATACAGTTGCCCTTTAGTTCAATGTGGGTGGGATTATCCATATTTTGTATACAGTTGCCCTTTAGTTCAATGTGAGTGGCATTATCCATATGTTGTATACAGTTGCCCTTTAGTTCAATGTGAGTGGCATTATCCATATTTTGTATACATTTGCCCTTTAGTTCAATGTGAGTGACATTATCCATATTTTGTATACAGTTGCCCTTTAGTTCAATATGAGTGGCATTATCCATATGTTGTAAACAGTTGCCTTTTAGTTCAATGTGAGTGGCATTATCCATATGTTGTATACAGTTGCCCTTTAGTTCAATTTGAGTGGCATTATCCATATTTTGTATACAGTTGCCCTTAAGTTCAATTTGAGTGGCATTATCCATATTTTGTATACAGTTGCTCTTTAGTGCAATGTGAGTGGCATTATCCATATTTTGTATACAGTTACCCTTTACTTCAATGTGGGTGGCATTATCCATATTTTGTATACAGTTGCCCTTTAGTTCAATGTGAGAGGCATTATCCATATGTTGTATACAGTTGCCTTTAAGTTCAATTTGAGTGGCATTGTCCATATTCTGTATACAGTTGCCCTTTAGTTCAATGTGAGTGGCATTATCCATATTTTGTATACCGTAGCCCTTTAGTTCAATGTGAGTGGCATTATCCATATGTTGTATACAGTTGCCCTTAAGTTCAATTTGAGTGGCATTATCCATATTTTGTATACAGTTGCCCTTTAGTTCAATTTAGTGGCATTATCCATATTTTGTATACAGTTGCCCTTTAGTTCAATTTGAGTAGCATTATCCATATTTTGTATACAGTTGCCCTTTAGTTCAATGTGAGTGGCATTATCCATATTTTGTATACAGTTGCCCTTTAGATCAATTTGAGTGGCATTATCCATATTTTGTATACAGTTGCCCCTTAGTTCAATGTGAGTGGCATTATCCATATGTTGTATACAGTTGCCCTTTAGTTCAATGTGAGTGGCATTACCCATATTGTGTATACAGTTGCCCTTTACTTCAATGTGGGTGGCATTATCCATATTTTGTATACAGTTGCCCTTTAGTTCAATGTGAGTGGCATTATTCATATTTTGTATACAGTTACCCTTTAGTTCAATGTGAGTGGCATTATCCATATTTTGTATACAGTTGCCCTTTAGTTCAATGTGAGTGGCATTATCCATATTTTGTATACAGTTGCCCTTTAGTTCAATTTGAGTGGCATTATCCATATTTTGTATACAGTTGCCCTTTGGTTCAATTTGAGTGGCATTATCCATATTTTGTATACAGTTGCCTTTCAGTTCAATGTGAACGGAATTTTCCATATACTGTATACAGTTGCCCTTTAGTTCAATTTGAGTGGCATTATCCGTATGTTGTATACAGTTGCCCTTTAGTTCAATGTGAGTGGCATTATCCATATTTTGTATACAGTTGCCCTTAAGTTCAATATGAGTGGCATTATCCATATTTGTTTTTTTTATAGTAGCCCATTTGCTCGATTTTGAGTGGCATAATTTATATTTTGTCTTCTAGTTCGATTTTAGGCTGCATTATCCATATTTTGTATACAGTTGCCCTTTAACTCAATGTGAGTGGCATTATCCATATGTTGTATACAGTTTTCTTTAAGTTCAATTTGAGTGGCATGATCAATATGTTGTATACAGTTGCCCTTAAGTTCAATTTGAGTGGCATTATCCATATTTTGTATACAGTTGCCCTTTAGTTCAATGTGAGTGGCATTACCCATATTTTGTATACGGTTGCCCTTTAGTTCAATTTGAGTGGCATTATCCATATGTTGTATACAGTAGCCTTTTCGTTCAATGTGAGTGGCATTATCCATATGTTGTATACAGTTGCCCTTTAGTTCAATTTGAGTGGCATTATCTATATTTTGTCAATAGTTTCATTGTAGTTCGATTTTGAGCGGCATTATCCATATTTGTTTTTTTTTACAGTTGCCCATTTGCTCGATTTTGAGTGGCATAATTTATATTTTGTCTTCTAGTTCGATTTTAGGCTGCATTATCCATATTTTGTCGAATAAATTTCAGCAGTACCAAATTCAAATTAATTTTTACTGGCTGTATACCTCTCTGGAACACGCCAATTAGCCGTATATGTATGCAGCTAGAACAGAGAAGTTCAAGGAAAAAAATCCAATGGAATCAATTGA